CCTGCCCCTCTTGACTAGTGTCTCTGACTGCCTCTCTGCTTTTTTTAACTGGATGGCTGCCCACTTCCTTAAACTCAACTTGTCCAAAACAGAACTTCTGGTCTTTTCTCCCTCAAGTGTTGCTACTCCCGTTTCTGTGTCCCTCCACGCTAATGGTGCTACCATCAGCTCTACCACGCAGGCTCGCTGCATAGGTGGTCTCTTTGACTCCGACCTCTCTTTCACCCCTAATGTCCAGTCTATCGCCAAATCCTGCCACTTCCATCTCAAAAATATTGAGCGCATCCGACCCTACTTAACGCGAGATGCGGCTAAGATGCTGGTCCATGCCATTGTCCTCTCTCGCCTTGACTCCTGCAATCCGCTTCTCAGTTGTTTTACGTGCTCACAACGTGCCCCACTGCAGTCTATAATGAATGTGACGGCGAGGCACAGCTTCCTGTCCGCCCGCACCTCTTGCGCCTCACTCCTCTGTCAGTCCCTGCATTGGCGTCCAGTAAGATATGGGGCTTAATATAAAATTCTGGTTCTTGCTTTCAAATCTCTACATAATGCTACTCCCCTCTATCTAACCTCCCTAATACACAAGTATGTCCCGTCTAGACCTCTACGTTTTGCCGAAGACATGTGTCTATCCTCTGTTCGTACTCCCACCTCTGATGCTCGCATTCAAGACTTCTCTTGGGATGCACCATTACTGTGGAACTCCCCTCCCTTTTCCGTTAGACGCTCACCCAGTCTCCCCTCCTTGAAAAAAAAAAAATCATTATATCATAATTTTCACAAAAGCATATCAATGAAACTGTTAATGGCTCAAAAAACACCAAAAAAACCCACACTAAGTCTTCATTACTATTCTACCAATCTACTTCCCTAAAACTTCCCTTACCTTTTGGGTCACCTTACCCTACTCCCTCTCGCATGTAAGCTCATTGAGCAGGGCCCTAAACCCCTTTGTTTTTGTGTGTCAAACCTGTCTGGTTACAATTACATGTTTGTTAGTCCACCCATTGTAAACCGCTACGGATTCGGATGCAGCTTGGAGGACCTGGAGATCTGCGCTGGAGGCAACTTTTGGGGTTAAACCATCTGAGTAGTTTTTTCACACCTTAAGGTAAGTGTTCACCGAGTGGACCTCCTGCCACCCTAACAAATTCATATAGATGAAGTTATTATGGTAACTGGAGTGTCCCTCTAAGGAACAAGTGGGAACAAGGGAATGAAAAGTGAAAGAAACATTGTAAAGCGCAACAGACCCATTATAAAGCGCTACAGAATTTGTTTGCGCTATATAAATATAATAATAATAATAAACAAAACATGACCATGTCGCTTTTATAAAACGTGTATACCTATCCAGAGATGGCTGTGTCTTCTACGCAGTTTATTTGCCAGAAATTGAAAGCAAGGGAACAGAATACCAGAGAACAAAGGACAACTACATACCTTTCCATTTCAAGAATAATGTATCAGTCATATTTACCCAGACTGATTTCTAAACAAATTTCTTGTAGGTTAAAGGCACATTACAGGGAGTATTATTGCTGTGGAGCTGTTATATGTAGCTCAGACACCCCAACATTAATGGAGCTCCTAGAAAAGAGGGATAGTGGGATTTTGGCCCAGAGGCTGTGCCTCCTAAATAGGGACACATTGGAGGTATGCAACCATGAAAACTGTTTTCATAGTAATTGTAAAGTTCTTTTAATTGATAATAACCTGTTCTATACCCTAGTAACTGTACAAATATACCGTGTGTCAGTTGTGGTCAAACCATTGAATATAAAGAGCCCAGAGTAAATATTTGATTGGCCTGTGTTTCCATAGCAGTGTATTAATGCTATCTTAGCAAGTTGGTTCTCTAACTCTTTGCCATGGAGGTGTTATTATTGAGAGAAGCAGTTCCCAGCAAGGCAGGAGGGGAGTTGTCTTGTTTTGTCTGTCTGTTACTGGCTGCCTGCCTCCCTCCCCAGCCCTGGGGGACGGAGGCGAGGAGGGGGCAGAATGAGCTCATGGATTAAGTCTCCATAAAGAAAGGGAGGTTTATGTGAGATTCCTGCCACATTCTTGCTATCTGAGCTCAGATCTTGCCCTGAGCCTTGCAGTGCCATGGTCTACTAAACTGGCACGCACAGTCAATATAGTTTAATATAACACTTTTATAAAGCATTGTGCTGCAAGCATGTTTATTTTTATGAGATAATGAGGTAATAACCCTGCCACTGTATTTTTGGGTTATGTGTACATAGGATGTGCTTGTTTATGGTTATCTCCAAGCCAAATGTCACCTAATCACCTAAGCAGCCCTGAACTCTAAACATCACTTAACTGTGGCAAGGTAGGTTATAATCTTCATTTTAACAAGAAGGTTAATCCAAGCAAAACTTGCCATAGGTGTAGTGGACAACATGTCCCACAATGCTCTCACAGCCATGATGCTGGCAAAGCATCAGGGGAGATGTTGTCTACAACATCTGGAGTCCTGAAGGTTGCCTCTCCTTACTCTAGAGTCTAGCGCAGGCATAGGCAACCTTCAACACTGCAGATGTTTTGGACTACACCTCCCTTGATGCTTTGCCAGCATTATGGGTGTGAGAGCATTATGGGGGATGTAGTCCACAACATCTGGAGTGCCGAAGGTTGCCTAACCCTAGTCTAGAGCATATGCACTGGCAAATTGTTTTCCCAAATTACTGAAAAGCACAAATGAGTAGAGTGGCACTGTCACTTGATGGGTCCTTGCATTTATTTTGCAAAGACCCTCCTAGTGACATGTTTACTTGCATGTTGGTACCAGATGGGAAGAAAGATATATTCCCCTAAAAGTCTGTTGTCTCACACCACCTTATTTTGGCTTTCGGCAGTTAAAGCACATGCACCTGGGCAAAAGTCCATTACAAGGGTCTTTGATAGTCCTGACTAATCATGTGATCTTCTCACACACGCACAATAAATGCATGTAGCAAGTCACTGTGCATCACATGACAAAAAGCTTTTTTTCTTACCAGCTATTGCTAGTGATGGCTTAAATACAAATTCCAAGGTACTACAGGCAGATGCTGATTTTGCTGAATAGGACAAAGTGTTACAAGTATGTCTTTTGGTAGTGTTGTGGAATTTCTAAAATTTTAATGTAATGCATGTATGAGGTTTTAGATTCTTTCCTTGAATTTTTTTTTTAAAATTGACAGTGTCACTTTTAATAAAGCAATATATAATTAGTTTGTTTTAAACCAGAGCCCAAATTTCCACTAGTCACTGGTGAGTAGAAGTTCACCCCTGTTGAGTGTGCCATGGGCTTTTCATGCTTGTAATGGCAAGTAACTTTTAAAGCCAGACTACTATGGCTAGTAGAGTGAAACATGAAATTATAAGCCACTTTATATGTAGAGCATTTACTGGAATTAAAGAAAACACAAATATAATCATGCGGAGGAGCAAAATCAACACCAAGATCTGGATCTGTAAGAGTGAAAGCTGACCCTAAGCTCTTTACTTACGACTAGGGACGCTGCCTCACATCTCATATTGGAATATCATTAATGAATATTTTTCTGGACAGGTCATCTTACATGTTTCAAATGCTACCCTGCAGCATCGTACATACTGATAATACTTTAGTTCTTTTTTTGTCGAAGGGGAACCCACTGAACAATGTCAACAAACTATTAAAGGAGGGTTAATTTATATCAGTGTGTGGTAACTCTGTATGGGTTGGTTACAGCTAAGTGACGCACAAAGTTCTAGAATGTTATGGAGTCTGAGCTTGCTGACCAAGGTCATTCATTTCTATCCACTGTGACTGAAGAACTGATGAATGCTGGAAACACATTTATCATGTCTTCTGATGTGTCTATTATACACGAGAAGTTAATGTCAGGGCAGATTCGATGAATATCTGAAGATGAGGTACAGGAGAAGATACTGTGAGTGAATAGACAGACCCTCTGCGTGAAAGGGCAAATTTTAAAGGATTCAGTAAGATGAAGCAGATTCTGTGTATTTTGACAGATTCTCACCATCTCTGTGTGAATGAACAGATTCACAGGGGGAATGGATATATATTCAGGAAGAACAGGACTGAAGTTGGGAGTGAACTGTCCGACTCTTAGGCTACATTGGCACAATCAAAATGTCTCACTGTACATAAGAGACTCTACTAGTGTTTAAGCAACCGAGCAGAATTTTGGAGCGAATGGGTAGCCTTCCATATGCTTCAGGAAAATGGAAACGTTCACAAAATCTGTCATCGGGTACTCTTAGAAAATGGGTTGAATCTTGACGAATATCATCAGTGTCTCAGAGTGAATGATCTACACCAGAATCCTTTAGTCATAAGTCTTGATATAGACTCTCCACAATAGGCAGTGAAAGGGGTAACATTTTACGGGTGTCTAGATGTTTCAGTCAGTATCTGGTTATAATCAATAGTACTTTCAAATAAACGATCCTGAATTTCCGATTGCTAAAAAAAGTAATCTGATCGTCCTTGTGCAATTTATTGACTCTTTATGAATTATAAATAATAGTTTTAGTTGATCCTGTCTATAATCTGCAGAAGCTCCGTGTTCTATTTTTAATGTTAATTATGGCAAAGTTAGCAAAGATCAGATACACGCAGACCTAAGCAGTAAGCCAGCATCTTTTTTAAAATTCACTTGACGACTTGCATACAGCTGGTTTTTTTTGGGTTTTATTTTTTTTGCCTAATACTGAAATTGCTCAGAAGTGTGGCACATTTCTGGAATATTTTTATGTGATTAAAAGCCGTTTCACACCTCAGCTGTGTCATCATATCTGCGTGTTTTGGATGAGTGTTGTCATAAAGTTGTCCCCATAAATTAAGGTGTGTGTGTGGACTGTACATCAGCTCTGCGGAATATGTTGGCAAGTAATAAATAATAAACACCCTAGATGAATATGATGCCCTTGGGATCAACCTTTACCTGATTGTAGTCCTGTTTATTTCAGTGCTAGACAGCTATAAGTAGATTGGAAATCGAGAACTGAAATAGTTAATCTGCTCCTGGCACCTGTTGAATGCAGAAGGAAGTCCCAACAGGCTCAAATATCCCATATTAGGACTTTCCGCTCTCTCTCAGATAATTCAAACACCTCTCACCTCCCTGTTGACGTCACCTTGAGACCTGGAAGATGATTCACTTGGAGAACTTGGAGAACGGCCTCCTCCATTCTCTCTGTTTACTGTGTCGAGTTTGCTATGGATATCGAAACTCCGCCATACTGTGAGAGAAGACAGAATGCAACATTTTACATTTCTCTAAAAGTTTATATATTCAGTAGTGCTGTACAACCGTGTCAGTAACAAGTTACTTCTATTTTTCTCAGCAGCTATTACGAAAGCACAGATCTCGAGTCGAAGATCCCATTGTACAGAGCAGTGGATTATGTTGTGTTTTCTAAATATTACAAAAAATATATGTACAGTGTGCATAGCATAGGAATACATTGAGGTTTTGCTCATATTCAACTATGTTTCTATTAAAAATATTTTCAGGAAGTATTACTTTACAGAGAGGGTAGTGGATGCATGGAATAGCCTTCCAGCTGAAGTGGAATAGGTTAACACAGTAAAGGAGTTTAAGCATACATGGGATAGGCATAAGGCTATCCTAGATATAAGATAAGGCCCGGGACGAATGAGAGTATTTAGAAAATAGATGGGCCGAATGGTTCTTATCGGCCGTCACACTCTATGTTTCTATGTCTTGTAATGTATGTAAACCGTTTAAAAGTCTCTCACTGTGCATGTCTGCTTTATATGGCATGACGTTTATGTAAAGGAAATCTGTCACTTTTTCACTTTTTTTTTAAAATTCTTTATTTTATGTGCATTGAGAAATGTAACAAAACATAACATACTTGTGCTGCCTTTTCAACATAGGCAGATTAGTAAACAGCATTGTTGTTGCCATGGATCAGGATTAGTCTATATGTTTTACAGTTATAACATATCAGGAGCGTAGGATTGGCAGCAAGTATATAGTGTGTGTCTTATTGTTCTATGGTCGGAGGAATTAACCTGCGTCCTAGTAGTCAGGAAGAACTTTGTGGTCGTGTTTCTGCACTTTTTCTGTTTTTCTAATGTGTCGAGTGTGCCCATGCGGTAGGTTCCCATAGGGTGAGCTGGTTGTGAGTGATTGTGTCTCTCGGTTGTTTAAGGGGGGGTGTTGGTGATTGTGAAGTGCTGCCGTTCATCGCCGGTTAAAGTTGTATATGTGCGTCTGTCTGTGCCTGAGTGTGGGTTTTGTGTCGTGCTTGCTATGCTTGGATTAGTAGGTAGTGTTGGCCCTTAACCTAAGAGGGTCACGGGGGTTGGGAGTTCGTCTCCGTCTTTGTATGGGGAGTTATTAGTAAAATGTTGTATTTTGGTAGAGCAATAGGGTGAGATCAGAGAAGGGGAGAGAATATCAGAGCATGGAAATTAAAAGGTAAACAGTTTGAGGTGTTCAGGTCTCTGCCTCCGGTCTCTTGTTGCCCCTGGGGACGTATGGTACTGTTCTGTCTGGGTCCCATGAGTGGGGGGCTGGTGTTGGTCCCCGTGTTGGGGCGTTCTGAATTAGTCCCAATTTTTGGAGAAGCGCTGGGGCCTCCGAGAGTGAGGTGAGTTTTAGAACCTCTTCTCCGCTGAATACCGCCAGGGTTCTTGGCAACAGCCATCTGTATTCTACATTCCCCTTCTGCAGTTGTTCCGTTACGTTGCTCAAGGACTTTCTCCAGAGTAGGGTGCTCCGCGTGATATCCTGGAAGAAGGTAAGTTGTGAGGCTTCGAAGGCCAAGGGTGTCTTGTCTCTCACTGCTGTTAGTATGCGGCGTTTGTCTGTCATGGAATGGCAGCGGACGATGACGTCCCTTGGAGCCATTGTGGGTGCCCTTTTTGCTTTGTTAATGCGGAAGTGGCTGTCAAATTCCAGCTTTTTGGCTTGTGTATGTGGCAGTATTGTGGCCGTGAGTCTCCTCAGGTACTGTGGTAATTCGGATGATCCCACTGCATCAGGGATACCCCGGATCTTAATATGTGTGCGCCTGCTGCGATCTTCCATGGCGTCTAGCGTGTTTTGGAGCGCTGAGTTCGCTGTCTGTAAATGTTTCAGGGCGTCCCCCATGCTTTTCACCTCTTGTCGGAGGTCTAGTATGTCTTCTTCAGAGGCCTGTACTCATGCCATCACTGCCTGCGTTTCTGTGCTTATTAGGTTTATGTCTGTGTCAAACAGCCCCTTTATCTCCTGTAATAGGAGTCTGATATCCCTTTTAGTGGCTGGGGCTGAGTCATCCCCCTCTGCTTGTGGGCTGCTGGGGGCTTCAGCTCTCATGTCTGTGCTGCTTCCCTGGGGAAGCTGTACTGAGTGTGTGGGGCCAGGTTCCTGATCTTGTTCGGCCGCCATTTTGTGGCCTGCTGTGCGTTGACGCAGAGTCCCAATGTCTTGGGAGTCCCTGGGTGCTGCCTGTTGTGGCTTCTGTGATCGCCTCCCCATTTCGTTGTCGGGTGAGTGGTGACCTGCCCGCTGTCTGCACCAGTCCTTCAGGCTCAGGGAGATCCCCGCGGGTAGCTGCTGATGCCGGCGGGAGAGCGAGGTAGGCCCGGGATTTGCGGACTCGTTTTTGCCCGGTTGTGGGTATAAAAAGGGGCATCGGTGGGTAGCCCTGGGAGCCCTGGGAGCCCTGGGGTTGTAGCTGTGGGTCCCGTGGGTCGATGGCCCCCCCTACCTGAGATGCGCGGCGGATAGTGTCTTGGTGCTGGGGAGCCGTGGATGATGGCGTCCATTCGGCTCCATGGTTAAGCTCCGCCCCCCCACTTTTTCACTTTTAGCACAATCAAATGGCTAACTAAAAGTTAGATTTCTGAGCCTTCATTCATGTGACCAAGACCTTGTGGGGTGGCAAAGATTTAATCCAATGCCAGGCGCCAAACTCCCGTCTAAGATTTCTACTTACCGTACCTCTACTGCAATATTCTCCTGCTAAACAGTGAAATAGTGTTTACTGGGGTAAAGGAAGAAAAACTTACATTACATTACATTTGATCTTTAAAGATTACTAAATAACCAGGAATGTGCTAAATAACAGACCTTATCTGATAAACCCCAGCTTGTCTCTCTCTGAGATCTAACGGTATGAATGTGAACTAATTATTTAGATTCCTACCAGAATGGGAAATGGATTGTTCAACGTGTACTGGGTTCAAAGATCACTTCCGTAATATTTCTGTACTCCTGGAATATTCAAATCATAACACTGCAGGGAGAAGCTCTAGCAAAGCATGTGATTCACACTGTGTTATTACGTTTATTTTGTGACTAAAAAGCAAAGTAAATGCATTCTACTTATGGGAATGACTATATGTAAAAAAAAAAAAAAAAAATTTCAGTCACTTACTTTATTACTTTGCTGGGAAAACACTCATAGCTGCAGTAAGAAATAAATAAGGCAAATCTAGCACTAATGGCCTCTAGCAATTCAATGAATGGCAACTTGGCAAGTGGTTTATAATCTTATAACATTATGGGACACCAGGCTTTAAGGTACTTACCTACATTAGTGTATAATGGTATACCCTGTATCATGTTTAATGTAATATGAATCCCTGTTCCAATGAGCTTACAATCTAGTGGTATAAGATAAGAGCATGTTCCAAGGAACTTGCAGTCTAGTGCTATAATAAAAGACCAGGACCCAAGGAATTCTTAATCTTTTGATATAATGAGTGTGCCTGAGGAGCTTACATTCAGGGAGATGCATAGGGTGCACATTAACATCCCTGCCTCATTGCAGTATGTGCATGAAGAATTGCTGCATTTACATTGTAACAGCCAATGTGCCCCTCACCTTCACCTCTGGAAATCCTCACAGTCACTGCCCGACAGATGGTGCCTGGCAATTCCGTGAGGTCCAGAATTATTGATAGATCAAGAAAACCCGTGTCCATACTCTATGTGAGGAAGCCTGATATATTTTTTTTTAAACTTGGTTCTCCTTGTCTCTGCTCCCTCCCACTGTCTGAGATCTCTTAAAGAATTCTGGGGGAGAGACAGAAAAGTGAGGCAAACAGTGCTGTGTGTTTATCCAGATTAAACACTTTTAAAAGCAAATGCTGCGTGAACAGGTTATTTTGCAACATAACCACTTCAGTAAGATAACGTGAATATGATGCTTAGCGTGACCCTTGAAGAGGGCAATCTATACTACATAACCCTTACAGCTCACTGGGAAAATCCACCCTCATCACTCTCAGGTAATCCTTGCTGTCCGGGTTGGAAACAAATTCAACATTTATCATGTAGAAGAGTTAACTTCGCTGTGTCAAGGTGGCAAAGATATGTACAGTCCCTGAATGTTGGTCAAACTGTTCCCATACATTTTGATATCAAATTAGGGAGATGGTACCAAGGCACTCTAGACGACATAAACACTACAGATTAAAGGGTTACTCCAACCGCCGTGATCACTTATGCTTATGAGCCTGGATGTGCAGTCTGTCTGCTTAAAACACTGCGCATCCAAAGTTATTGTTAATTGTGTGCTGAGGGGGCTTGTTTCACCCCCAGCACACATGACTTAGGCAGTCCAAAACAGTGTTAATTTCATCGATAAACTATTTTTGCAAGATTTAGTAGACTAAAATGAAAACATTTCATATGACTAAAATGGCTTTTTAGTCAAAAGACTATGACTAAAACTAAATTGAAATTTGCTGACAAAACTTAAACTGGCGGATAAGACACATGGGGGAGGGAGGAAATGAAATAAGACACGTGCGGGACTTTGGGATTGAGACACAAGGGGGTGGCTGGGGGAATGAGACGTGGGGGAGGTGAGATGGATGGAAGGATTGGGGATACACAAAGCCACATAGAGAGGCTGGGGAGAAAGGGACAAGATGTTGAGGAAGAGACATATGGGCTGGGAAGGGCAAAACAGACAAACTGGGGCTTGGGGACACACAAAGAGACACAGAGGGACTGGGGAAGGGGCAAAAGAGACAGACCGGGCCCGGGAGAGAGACACCTAGAGGGTCTGCGGAAATGGCAAAAGAGACAGAGGCTTTAACTAAACCCATTCGATTTTAGTTGTGTCGACTAAAATCTACTTGAGATTTAGTTAACTAAAACTAAGCTAAAACTAAAATGGCTTTTTAAGTCAAAAGGCTATGACTAAAACTGAATAGAAATTTGCAGCCAAAATTAACACGGGCGCAGAACTCTGTTACTGACTGCCTAAGGTCAATTCTGTGCATATTTTACGTATGTCATCCACATGCACTGCAAGCTGCCGACAGACGTAACTGCTTCTTCCTTGCAGGTAGAGTCTTCCCTTCCTTTGCCAGTTTAGAGCGTGCGCATGTGCTCTGAGTTGGTAAAATAGTACAATCAAAGTCCTTTCTATGAGAAGCCTTTGAGTGGACTCAGAGCAGCTCCTGTGACATTAGACGGGAGTGTGGCGCCTGGCATTGGATTAAGATTAGTAAAGACTTATTTAAAAATGCTAATAGAGTATTATTCTATTCAGAACAAAAAAAGGCTGGAGTGACCCTTTAACCCCTTAAGGACACATGACATGTGTGACATGTCATGATTCCCTTTTATTCCAGAAGTTTGGTCCTTAAGGGGTTAAATATTTTTTCCACTCCCGCAAATTTTGGTATAAATTTGCAATTCCTTTGTGAAATGCTGACGTTTGTAAATTATTCCTTTTGTTTGTTTGTGTGTGTGTCTACGTGTCTCCTCATGGTCCTCAGAATTATTATACTAGAATGAAAACTTCAATGAAAGGAGAGGAAGAGAGAGAGAAAAAAAAAACACAAACACACACAATTATACTCAGTTCCACTTCCATGATTTCTATTGTAGTATAATAAATCTAAGGTAGGATCCAGCACAGAGTGGAGCTCTATGTTCTATTTAGAATGGTATTCAGCACCTGTTTATGATCACACAGCAGATGGTAAGTACCTTGCTCCCCTCTTTGAGACATGCCCTCAGGAATTAGGAATGCTGATTGGCCCCCAGCCTATACAGTGTGTGAGGGCTGCCCTGTACTGCATGCTGCTGGCCCTTTACAGTGACAATGCTACTCTCTGCATGGCAGGTAAGCTGGAGCCCTGCCCTAAAGCCAGCCAGCAGCCAATCCCAAGTGTGAAAGCATGGAGTGGGTGTGTCTCTCCTGTCTGATAGAGGGCTTGGCTCCGCCCCGTGCTCAGTGTAGAAGGAGCAGCCTTGCTGTGAGTGTGTCTCTGTGAAGATGAACAGTCTGTGTACCCTGCAGCAGCTCCATCCTGAGCTGGACCCTGTAAGTATGGCAGCCCTCCCCCAACCCCTGTACTGTCTGCTCTTAGACAGCAATCTGTTCAATATTTACCAGCAGCACATGGCTGTGACAGGACAGGGAGACAGCCCATCAAGCTGGGTAAGGGTTAATTAATCCCATCCTGGATTTAGTTCTGTATCTGGACTTTTTGCGTGTTGGTATTGTGTGTGTGTGTGTGTGTGTGTGTGTGTGTGTGTGTATACAGTATATATATGATTTTATTTTGTGATATGCTGTAAGCAGCAGAATGGGCGTTTTCCCAATCATCTCTCCATCCTGTTATACAGCTCTGTGTCCTGTCTTTGTGTTTATGTGCTTTGTGTGTTATGTAAGTCGAGCAGGTGAGCTGGCAGGTGTTCTAAAGAATATTGATATATGACCCAATATATATTTTATAATGCACTCCTAAGAGGTCTTTGTCATAGTTTTATGATGTTTTACTTTTAATTCGTTAGATGTGTTCTTACTATACATTAATAAAAATGTGATTCATTTGGATGTGGTGTTATAATTGTTGTTGTTTTTTTTATTTTTTGACATAATTGTTTTTGTGCAAAGTACTCCTATTCTTGCGAGAAGTACCTTGTGCCAGTGAGAGTCATTCTGTGCCAGGTTACCTTGGGTGAGGGATATTGATTCAAGTATGTTTTTGCCAGTGATACTGTGTGTCCTTTTATGGAGTTTGCCTCTACCAGTGAGGGGTACCATATACCTGTGAGATCTCTTGTGCCAGTCAGAGATACTGTTTTCTTGTGTGGGGCTTGCTTTGTGCCAGTGGGGGTTACTGTATTTATATGTGTTTTGTACCAGTGGGAGGGGAGGAGGGGGAGGTTACTATATTTTTGTGTGCTTTGTGCCAGTGGGGGGGTTACTGTATTTGTGTGTCTTTGTGCCAGTTGGGGTTACTCTGTGTAGAGTATATGTAGAAACATACTGTTTCTGTGAGTGGTGGTACACTGAGAGTACTGCGATTCTGATCTTGTTCATGTCAATTGTTCATTATTCTTGGTTTTAGACACTATTATTATTATTATTATTATTATTATTGCCATTTATATAGCGCCAACAGATTCCGTAGCGCTTTACAATATTATGAGAGGGGATTTAACTATAAATAGGACAATTACAAATAAACTTACAGGAACAATAGGTTGAAGAGGACCCTGCTCAATCGAGCTTACATTCTATAGGAGGTGGGGTGTAAAACACATTAGGACAGGAATTTGCAATCAAATAAGGTGGGCTGCCCTTTAGGAGAGGGCAAGAGACAGGTATGTGAGGTAGGGGTTAGTCTTGGAGGCCATAAGCTTTCCTAAAGAGATGGGTTTTAAGGCACTTCTTAAAAGATGCAAGGCTAGGGGAGAGTCTGATGGCGCGAGGCAGGCTATTCCATAGGAAGGGAGCCGCCCGCGAGAATTCTGTTTAGTGAATAACCATAACATCTTCCATAATACTAAAGGCAATGTTTTCAGTACAGTGTATATAGTCCTGTCGTATATGGGTCACAACGTACCCTTCAATTTTGAGCAGATGGTTTATAAAACAGTCTCATTACTAGATATTATAAGGAGGGTGAATAGTTTCTGTCAGATTTCCCACTTTCCAAGACTGCAAGTTTGATTTAATTTTTTATGGGACTTAAATATTGACAAGATTTAAAAGCGCGGGTAGTACCAAGTTACAGAATGGCTGTCACATGGGTTTTATAGTGAAATATGTTGGTGGAAATGACACTCGGCACTCATTATCACACTATTGTCCCAGATTTCAGTGACAGGACAGGCTTAATATAAGTAGAAATGTCACCAGACAAGTGGGAAGGGAGGAATCCATCAAAGATCCAGTTTATCCAGAGCAGCAAGCCAGTAACACCCTTTCTTACCCAAACTATTGATACACCACGCCTGTCCCACAGAGCTTATAATCCATTACTGAAACATCCTCGCCATTTGTTCCATTCTACCTAAAAAAAATTTTATCATAAAGCATTGCTGAATGTTTGTCTCTCTAAATACTTATGAAGAAACTATTTTTTTTCTTTCCTTGATGTTTTGAATTAGTAATGTTACCCAGTAGGATACAATGTATATATGTGTACTGAATATAAAAATCATTTTACCATGTGAAGTATTCCAAATTTGGAGGGACAGCCCTGCATACCGAAGGAACAAGACCAGTCATTCATAAAATCTTTTGTTTTGTGTGTTACTGCAAGATGCAAAGCCATTAATGGTGATGAATATCCCTGTAGAAGGAGTGGGGGGTGGGGGGTGGGGGGTATGACATGTCCAAACAATGGGGCTGGTCTCAGATTTCACCCCGGGTTAGGAATGTCTGGATTCCTGTGGGAAAAGCTGTGACGCTCAATCTCTTTGTACTTAGTAGAATTAGTTCTAGCTTTGTATGAAAGTGCTGTAATAATTGCAATATTGTAAGCTCACATACCGGTTTCTTCTGGTTTTTTTGTATCAGTATGTGTTCCTTTATTACTCTGTATTCCCTCTATTGTATAGAGCTGTGGAGTATGTTAACTATAAATACTAAATACATTATGGTTCTTATTATTTATTTATACAGAGGCGGTTTGCTTTGTAGATACAGGACGTAAAAGCATTATGAGACAGCAGGCAAATGCGGATTCAAGAGATTTCTATGGCTTGACACAGTTTCACAATAATGCATTGGAAGGCCTGTGCCAATTTCTCATGCAATCCTTAAATTCATTGCAGGGAGAATGTCTCCCAGAAAATCATTATTAGAAGAAATTGATTTTTAATACTAGCAACTGGATTTTCCAGTTGTACTCTAAAAAGGCCTGAAGGTGGATGTATAATGGTTTAGGTTTGGATGTTTTATAAACACACTGCAAGCAACGTGGGTGGTTGTGACGTGATTATATGTACAGTTTTCTTGTACTGTTATGCTTGTGTGCTTTCCCTGGTCTTCATGCACTTGTAGTAAAAGATCCCTTGTAGAGATTTTCTGTGCATTATTGTTGTAGTGAGTTGTTTGCAGGGTTATTCACATGAGTGAGAATTGTCTGGAATCTGAAGTTAATTTTAAATCTCACGTCCAATGTAGCCTAATTGAAAGCATAATTAATGAAACATTTGGCCAGAAAATCGGTATCTTGGAATCTATAGGAACAGATAAGGGGGTAACCCTAGAAGAATAAGAACAAAAGAAAAGAACGAGAGACAATCTGTTCCCACTATCAATATCAAGTACACACAAACAGTTAAAAATCTAGAAGATACTTTATTAATTAATCAAGGATACCAGTATAGAAAATATTAACCCCGGCAGTGACTGTCTGACTAAACGAAAGTTAATTTCGGCAGTCCAAGTAAGGACTCTAGGATTACCGCATTCAGCCGGTCTCATAGCGTCGATAATGCTTTCCTATGGACGCTTGCGTCTTCTCACTGTGATTTTCACAGTGAGAAGCACGCAAGCGCCTCGGCTGTCAATGAGACAGCCACCAGAGGATTTGGAGGCTGGATTAACCCATTTATAAACATAGCAGTTTCTCTGAAACTGCTATGTTTATTTAAAAAAAAAAAAAGGGGGTTACTCCTAGAGGGACCAGGCACCCAGACCACTTCATTAAGCTGAAGTGGTCTGGGTGCCTAGAGTGGTCATTTAAGCTGATTTGCATATTACTGTTTCAATACGGGTTCAGGCATCTGATGTTGATATGGCTCATATTTAGCACTACTTAAGCAAATATTTATAAAAGAACCATTGAAGAGATCATAACAGAGTACGTTCGTTTGCTATTACGATCATAGGCTGAGTTTATATTGACTGTAGACGAACTCCTTTCAGTTGTACTGTGCAGATACTCTGTACTGTATTTCATTTATCTTTGACATATTGATACAATTGTATCTTAAGATACTGCACAAGTTAATTTAGTGGGATCTTTTTTACAAGCCTAGTTAGGCTACATAGTTGCAATACCTTTGATGCACTAATTCTACTCTAGATACTTATGTATATCGCTACGGCGACGTTTAGATACTCAGCTTTTCGTTTTATTTGTGTAATTTTTTATTTTTTGTACTCCTTACTTGGACTGCCGAAATTGACTTTCGTTTAGTCAGACAGTCACTGCCGGGGTTATTATTTTCTATACTGGTATCCTTGATTAATTAATAAAGTATCTTCTAGATTTTTAACTGTTTGTGTGTACTTTATATTGATAGTGGGAACAGATTTTCTCTCGTTCTTTTCTTTTGTTCTAATTGAAAGCATAGCTGATTTGGAGAATTTCTCCACTTTTACTATGTTGGTCTTAAATTTGGAACATAATAATCGTGATAGTGTAACAGTTGAGCGTTATAGCTCGTTGTTTTTAGTGGTAAAGCCAGTGGGTGTTGAGTGATTTACTATAGTTTTCTATGTTGATGTCTATGGCATAGAATATACCGGTAGTTTCACATTGAAATTGGGCTGGTTCTTGGAAGAATTACGTATTAAATAAAAGTGTGACAAAGTGGTTCATTAAATGACTATACTATTGTATAACAGTGACCGCATTTAACTGGCAGAAGGCATTACTTTGAATTCAGTATAAGTAGGACAGCATGGTGCAATGTAAGGTGAGATAGAGGGCAAGATGCAAGTTTGAGTAAGTGAAATTAGTTTCTTTTTAATTGTCACAGTCCAGGCATACTTCACGTATTGCACAAAGTGTCTTGATTGATTGAGTGCAAACATAATAAAATTGACGTTCTCTATTGTAACTCACCGAATTTTACAGACTAGTGTATTATGTAATGACCCTATTCAACCATTACATAAACATTTATTTTGTACAGTGATTAATATGCTTGATTCTGATAGCAAATAAAAGATAAACAAATGTTATGGCCTTGATTTAATATTGTTAGATAAGCATTTCAAATTATTTCATATTTTTGGAATAACTAGTACAATTATTTGTTTTCTAAATTATATATCCACACACTGCTTTCATCTTTGTGCTTAGTGTCAGCGAGTGCCTGTACAATAAAATAAAATAGAAAAACACTGAAAGGGTGTGCTTGCATTTGTAGTGAGATGGAAATAAGAGATGTTCAGGCAAATGGCTTCCCCCAGCTGTTTGGAAACTTAACACGGACAATTTCAAGGATGGTAAATTCCTTGAAAGGGCATGTTACTGGGAAAATCTGATCTAAATCTGCTTTATATATATATATATATATCTTTCCTTAGGAACATGTGAAAACACTGCGTCTTACCCTACGTGAAGACCATTCTCCTGAAAGGAATGACCCCACAAAGATTAAGGTGAGTTTAAAAAATAATAATATTTAAAGCCAAATTTAAAACAGAAAGGGAAAACTCAGACTGGATAAGACAGAGGATGGTGTGTGTTTTCATTGCCAATGCTGGCAAACAGAGGGTGTCTGTTCTCTCTGCCAATCTAAATATAATATATACTTTTTAATGTCTGATGGCATTGTTACCCCTCATGGGTCACTAGTTTAGTATGTGTAAATACAGGTTATGTCATGGGTGGACAGGGTGTCAATGTTGCTCAGTCGTGGCTCTTTGAACGTTTGATATTCAGAAATGCTGCGTCTTTGTTTATGTTTATTTTACTATAACCTATATTGATTTGCTTTACCTTATTATTTTATTATTTCAGCCAGTGGGACGAGCCTTTGCCCTTATCTCCTCACGTCCTCTAAGAGGTTCCCGTCCCCTAAATTCTGAACTCATTAAGTCCACAGAAGGGGATGAAGAGATTATCAAGGTATGAGGGACTATCAGACATCTACCATCTGATAAAGAAATATTAAAACTTCAAAACTCCTTAGCTGAGTTTTGTACAGCTAAAACGTTCTAGTAACTGTCCAAAATGAGTCTGTAATTTACATGAATCAAGTACTCTAGTCTAAATAGTCCTTCACTGTGCTGGAACTGCACTCTTAATTCCACAGTAAGATTATTTTTAAAAGAAAAGGGCAGGTCAAAACCGTTTGGGAACCTTAAAATATTAAACAATACAAAAAGGGTAAAACAGCAATTCACCAAGAAACACTAATGATGCCAACGGAAAAAATAAAAAAATAGGGAAAACTACAAAAACAGAAATACCTTAAATTACAAAAATTACAGAAATAATTGAAACAATGCAAATCTTATATTTAGATAAACAAAATCATAAAATAAAATGAAAACTGCAGAACAACCTCAACGAATAAATTGTGCATAAAGCATGGCTTTTGAAGGGTTAATCCAACCACCATAACCACTTCTCTTGGTCACGATGTTAAGATCTGTATGTGCAATGTTTCTGCTTGAAACACCCATATACAGAATAATCTGCGGTTTTGTGCTTGGGGCTTGTTACACCCCCGGCACACATGACGTTATGTTAATTCTGTGCAAAAATTACATCTGTCGTCAGCGTGCACTGTGTACTAGTGACAGATGTCATCTGCTTCTACCCTTAGAGAAAGCGCTGGGAGTACACCCATGTTTCCTCCCTTCCTAATATCAGCCCTCATTGCTCGCCCCGTCTCCCTGCCTTGCTCAATGCTTGTCTGCTTTTTAAATATCCCATCCCTCACATTCCCTCACTCACCATCTTGGCTCAGAGTACGCACTGAGGGGAGGAGATTCGCCCTGCCCTGAATTCCAGATCAGTTAAAGCTTAACTTTCAGTGTTATAAGGGAAAACCTAATAACCAATGCCCAACAGGACATTCTACATAACAATTGGTTGGTTTAACAGAGGAACTTTAGACTTTGCATCCATGACCCAAAGATGTTTTTAAAGTTTAAAATTGTTACATGAAAGACTGATCTGATGCTCCTGAAAGGAGAAAAAATACCAACGACATTATGACACTGAAAAACTGTGTACCATGTGACAGGCTAAATAAATCTGAAAAATCTGTAATGTTTAATGATAAAGCAGTTGCATTGAGCCAGTAATTATTTGGCACGCAGTAATTGGGCTGTAAGGAGTTCCAGATTGTTTTTTTTAATATAGCTTTGTGTTTAACATTTTTGTAACTTCACCCTCATTTACAATAGCAGGAGTGATTGTGAGTGTTTTTTTTTTTTTCTGACAATGTTATGTTCATTCCTAGATCTATCTGAAGGCAAAAGCAGAGGATAAGGCCAATCATGAGTGGAATGTCAGCCAGCTGAGGAGTGAGGTGCGCCACATCCAGGAGGTGAGATCAAAGAATTGGATACGGTCAGAGGATAATGTTGTGATCCATGTACAACACCTTTAAAACCTAGCAGTGTACATGATTTATTGACCCACCAATCATTTAGTGCTGTTAAAGTGTCGTTAAATCAGGAAAGGTCAAGTATCAAATATTCCTAGTGCACTGAGATTTCAGTCCTATTCGGGCTCTGTCTGTATTCTTACTGAGGTTTATTCTGGCTCCCTTAGGCGCGAACCTCTATTCAAAACTTGAGAAAAGACTTTGATGGTAACGCTTCAAAATTCATGCAGAACAAATGTCCACAAAACAAGGTATGCCAATCAACGAGTGGTGTCTTCAGTGTAGACATTTCACAGGACAGTAGCATACTATAATCTCACAGGTGATATAAAAAGAACCTAAATATTACAAATTGATTCCGTGTTTGTTAAAGAAGCTGGTTGTACTGTTAATTATACAGGTAGGAATGGACACAGGCATAGGTCTTCAACTGTGTTTAAATATTAGGATTCAGGTATTCAGTTTCCATTAGTGGCTGATATAAATCATAAAGGAGTAAACAACCAATAGCGTGTCTGCAAATATGGATACATTGTGAGATTTAAAATCCTAATATTGTTACTGCTGTATGTGCCTTATGGGAGTGAGGGCACGATTGTTGATTTTTAGTGATTGCATGCTCTTGGTTGCTCAGGTGTATGAGGAAAAGCAGAATGGTGCGGAGCATTACAGAGACTCATGGAGAAGTACAGTGGCAGACGGCCAGGTAAGACTTCACTATATAATTGTTCTTGTACAGTTTGTTTGCAGCGTGTTTCCCAGCAGACTATAACTGTTTAATTCTGCAGGAAGAAGAATTAGAAATAGACAATGGGAAAAGCCTTCGGGAGACTGCACAGAGGTTATATACAAAGCTTCAAGAAGCAGAGAAGAAACAGCAAGCTGAACGAAGGATGTATGAGGTCTGTAACAGGACGAGTTCCTCATTGATCCTATTCTGTATTTAGCTTTCCCTATTTGTACCAGCATGCAATTCTTTAACAACCTGTTTTTCTACCTCATCTCCACCAGGACAAGCTTAGCAAATGTCAGCAAGAAGCTGAGCAGAGCATCAGAGCTCGCAGAGAGGCAGAGCAGAATGCTACTGAACATCAGAGGGAAGTGGAGGAGCTTCGCAGGCTGATGGCCAGTATGGAAAATGTAAGTCCTGAAAAATTATACTGAAATGGGAGCAATGATCCATGATTTAATCTACACATTCATAGAACATGCTAGAACAGCTGCCTGGAGGTGCTGAGAGTTATAATACAACATTTTGTAACTCAACACAAGTGTTTTTCTCACATTCGTATTGAGGAGCAGTGTGATTGTACAGGCTTTATCTGCTGTCAGTCTGGTGATACTATGATCAAGGCAATGGAGGGAATAACAGAAAAAGTGGTAGCATTAGTAGTGGTGGGGGGCAGCTTTAAGCTCTTACTGATTATCCAGTTTATACTTTTTGCAGGAACACCAAGGTCTGCGGAGGAAACTGAAGGAGAATGAGGAGGAGCTAGATCGCATGAAGACTCAAAAAATGCAAGACGGTCCTCTTCAGACTAGGTGAGATGAGGGGTCAGATAGGGAATACTATAATAAGGGCAAGAATTGGAAATGTCCTTCACCACATTAGGTCTATGGTTAAACACAATATTGGGGTCTCTCATATGACAATTGTTTTTTAACTTAATGCCAGAGAGCTTTAGCTAATGATCCAGAGTTATCTGTTTATTATATTAAATGTGTCTACCCCTGTGAATATACATTAATCTATATGTATCCATAATCATTATTGCAGGTGTGAAGAACTGGAGAAGACCGTATCGGGGCTGAAGGAGAAAATTCACCACTTAGATGACATGTTAAAGAGTCAACAACGCAAAGTCCGTCAAATGATCGAGCAGGTAAGTGCAAAGAATTGTGGGTGATAGCCTGAACTAACAAGGCCTTTTATGCACTTGCTTTAAATAATTTAATGGTAGCTGTAAGTAGATTGTTAATTTAGCAGATGGTGAATTATGTTTTTTATTAAAATAGCAGAAGTTCAAGTGGAGTTAGAGGGGCAGGTGGGAATAGTTTATAATGTGGCTGTGTTCTCACCATGTTATATCTTAAAGAAGTACTCAATTTATTTTTTATTTAACAGTTTAATAGATATACCCCCAATGAAAACATGCACTCTTTTCTTTGCTTTTTTTTATTTTTGGGATTTATCTAAAAAAAACAGCTTGCAAAATCTGCAGATCTTTGGTCTGCAGTCTTTGCAAGCCCTCCCCTTTTCCTCAGCCCAGACTAAATGGAGGCTTCTCATTTAAAAAACCTCTGTTCTGGAGCCATGAGTGTGTATGCACATGATTGGCTTTCAATAGCTTTCAGAAGTGCTTTGTCTGTGGAGTGTTCCTTCAATCTACTTTATAAAAGAAGACTTGTTTAGATCTAAAATGCTCTGCATTAGATTGGTATTCAATTACTATTTTATTTACACTAAAAATAATACACATGCATTACGTATAATCTTTAATTTTTTAATGAATATATATATATATATTAGTACTCTTATTAGTGAATCTTTTCTTGTTTGAGTCGTTTCATTGTTTGGAGTGCTATTTTTTTAGCTCACATTGATCAGAAGCACCACTTATTATTTGCTTGTCTTTTTGTCCAATGCTATGTGCTTCTGACAAGGGCTAGAGTTGGCCACCTCCATAGAGCAAGGCTAAGCCAGGTAATTCACCACACTAGGTATCGGATTACAGTATGCATTGCAAAATATTACACACAAACTGTGCTAGACCTAATCACTTATTTTACATAAGTTTTTTCTTTTTAAGGGTCTGGGCAGCAGCATAAATCTATATCTCAGGAGGATGTTGTTTTTGTTTTGTCTCTCAATCACTTTTGAACTATTTCTTAGCTTCAAAACTCCAGGACCGCAATGCAAGAGAAGGACATTCTAATTCAGGAGCTACGGGAAAAAGTCTCTTGGCTTCAAGCAGAGGTGAGAGTTTTTGCTCATTTGTGTGAGACGTGTATAAGGTTGTCGTTTAAAATTTTAGTTTTTTTAAATCCTGTCTTGGATTACAGTCTACATTTCCATAAATTAGCTTTGAATTTGCTGAATATGCTTGTTTGTTAAAATGTGTTTGTCCTGGAAGAATTGAACGGTTGGGGGGAAATATGTACAAAGTAAACAAGCGAAAAGGTATATGTTATTTCTTGTTGTTAAAATGACTCCACCCCAGCATTCAAAATGACTCATAACCAGGCGTTTAGTCTGACATTTAAATTAGGAGTCAGTCCTATTGTGGTCGGTCCAACAGTGTCTTGTTTTAGAAATGACATCACCTATCATGGATAAGGAATGTGGCAACATAACAGTGTAGTGCTGAAAAGGGAGTTGCACAATTAGGCCAAATTAGCTGAGCTGGAAAAGTAGCTTTGATTGGTTGTTTTTTTTTTGTTTTTGTTTTTTGTAGCCATAATTGTCTGGTCAGTTCCCCCAATTCTTAGTTTAAACTGCATTTTATTTATTTTAATTTGTGGACTCTGGATTTAATCCTTTTACTGCACTTATTACTTACATAAATATATTACCTTTGCACCTTCAATCTTGTTTTGACTAAAACAGTATTGTGATACTCCTTCTTTTGTGTGAAATAGATCACTGATCAAATCCTCTTTGGTGGTAGAGCACATTCAAGCAAAAAATTATTTTATCGATACACAATAAGGAGCTACGACATTCTTATAGTTAATTTGTAGAAACAGGTTGAATATTCCAGTTGGGGCATAACTTTTTTGCATTTGACACGCTGTACGCAAGCTTTCGTTACATTTATATAATCAACATTGTTGTGATGCTGAGTCTTCTCCACATTTTTTAGAACCTTGAGCTTCAAGATAAACTGGAACATTTTGTATCTACACAACCCGGGCACACCTCGTACCATCCTAGAAGTCACCCACGGCCTAATCTCCAGAATGTGTGAGTAATTGGGGTAGAATGTTTGGATGTTTTACTATTTTTCTGTAATTTCAGCAAGTTCGATCTACTAAGAGTGTTTCAACTGTATTTTTTTTTTTCCTTAGCAAAAAAGTGTACTTACCACCGGGATCTGGAAGACCCTTTCCACTCATTAAGTTGGTGGAGACATGAATTGGAGGCTGCCACTATGTGGACCGTAATATCTGCATCTTCCTCTTGTTTTTTGTGTGGCACTTTAGGTGGGATCACAAATAGTGAGCTACATCATATTTAAACCTTGCCTTTTTAATGACTACCCATCCCACTCCCCAACGGAGAATGCAACCTTGATATGTGACCGTCCAGTACCATAGAGGTTTTAAAAACTGCATTGATGGCTCTAGGATACAAATGGCTCTAGGATATTTCTTGTTGTGGAGTACATGACACAATGAGTGACATGGATCGTTACCTATTCCAGACTCTCCAAGATATTTATTTGTGACACCTAAAACATGGATTGAAAGATTCCATCCATCTAAGGTGTTTGATTTGTTGTTTCAAATGAACTTTGTTCCAGAATCCAGCAGTGATCTGGCATGCTACCTGTTTCGTACCATGCTGCGAATTTCATCCACATACAGCAGTGAAAGAGCAAGTGCCTTGAATTCCATTTGTGCTTACAAACCAAAGATCTCCCAAGGAAGAGAAGTGAGCTGTAGGATACCAGCATGCATGCCCAAATGTGAGACATTTGCAGTTGTCTTTCCTAATTTTGGAGTTCTATTAATTTGACTGTTCGCTATTTATCATGTATTCTTTACATGTAGAGTCTAGTTTTACTTCTGTCTAGCAAGGGAGGGATTATCAAAATGATGTGATGTGTTGCTCTATCCTGAGCTACAGTGTTGCTAGTTTAATGTCATATTCTCTTAATACCTGTATTGAGGATATTGCTTGCAATTTCACTTGTTACTGTTGCTCCTGGATGTCTGCATGTGCTGTTAAAATGTAAACTGTTTCCTCTCCCCCCTCCATTTCATTCATTACCCTGGCATTTAACTGTACCTTTCCCACAACCTATAGCTGTTAACTCTCTTCTGTCTCTCCATGAACTGCCCACCCTGACCTCCAGGTGCAGATTAAAAATTACCATATTTGCTCGATTGTAAGATGACCCTGATAATAATACAACCCCCCCTGCCCCCCACCCCCCAAAAAATAAAATGGGATCTTGTTAAAAAAAAAAAAAGAAAGAAAGAAAAGGCCTGAATATAAGACTACCCTATGGGGGAAAAAATCATTATACACAAGCTCACACTGACACACAGCCAAGCTCACTATACACAAGTTTACACTGACACACACAGACAAGCTCACTATACACAGGCTCACACTGACACACAGACAAGCTCACTGGCACTCACTGCAAGCTGTTTAGAGAATAATCCTCAGCTTGGCATTGACCAGACTATTGTGTCAGAATAGAGACTGCAGCTGGCTTCCAAAGTTCTCCACTGAAAGGCTTATTGGGAGAGATCCTCTAGGCCAGTGATGGCTGCCCTTGACACCATAAATTGTTTCTGGACTAAATTTCCCATGATGCTCAGCTAGCTTTTAGACTCTAAAAGCTAGCTGAGCATCATGGGAAATGTAGTCCAGAAACAATTTATGGTGTCAAGGTTAGCCATCACTGCTCTAGGCTGAATCAATGCGTTGATAGTACCCATGGACAAGCCTTCAGTGTTGTGAGGAACTCCATGTCTACAGGTGGCATCTGAGCTTGAGATAAAGCTAGAGAATTCTCATATGTATCATAAGCCGTCTTAGCACTGACATTTTCTCTTGCTGAACTATGCCCATGATTTCCTGAAATTGAAGATATCCCTAGGGTACCTTCCATAGCAGCTGTTTCACTAGACTCCACCACTAAGCAGTTAGGAGCTGTTTGTATCCCTGCTAAAGGATGAAAAAAATCTTTCCACCATCTCATAAATAATATAATTTATTAATAATAAAATATATAAATTTGTGTGCTGGAGAATGCACTGGCCTCCGAGCCATACCTGATGTGCGGTGTTTTAACTGTGTATTTTGCTGGAGAGCAGTCACGTCTATGGGAACGCTGTCTCTCAGTGATAACTCTACCTGTGTGGCCTCTGTACTGACAACCTGCGTCCTGTGTGTTTGTAAAGTTCGAGTTGTAGTTTGTTCCCAAGCTGTTCGCTTCCCCGGCACAATTCAGTGCATGCTCTCTGTAATAACAAGGATTCTCCAGTGATCTATTAGGCATAGACACATCATTAGAGTAGTAATGCATTTTCAAAGACCCACACAGAGACATTGCCACCTGTCTCTCATAAGGATTGGAGAAGTGTGAAGCTGAGCTGTTTCTAACTGGGTCTGATTAAAAGATTCTAAGACAAGGTTGTTGTTTTCAGAAGTCTTTTTCATAATGTTATAATCGAGCAAATACGGTACATGCCGTGGGAGAGCTGTAGACCAATATTTTGCACTAAATGTAGTCAAATATAAATGTAACATTAGGTGTAGTCATACCGGTATAAATGTAACGTTAGGTGCAGTCATACCGGTATAAATGGAACGTTAGGTGCAGTCATACCGGTATAAGTGCCTATTTGGATAAAATCGTTTTTTCTCCACCAATCTCCACTACAAATGGCACTAAAATTAAGCCAGGGATTTCCTTACAGAGCTTATAGAGCTTCTGTTGAGAAATGTGACCTTTTTTCTCTGTAAATATTTCTAGTGGTGCTACATCATTCTGTCCAAACGGTGTAGTCCAAAGCAGCTTGCATTATTCCTGAAGCAGAAAATGGCTCTAAAAACAGCCAATATATACAACACAATACATTTTTTTTAATATTTGGCTGACTAATGAATGTGATACAAACATGGTTATAAAGAGTAATTAGGATAATATCCAAATGTTGGATTTGATGTTCTCACGATAAGGTGCTAATGATTTTAACCAAACCGCTTTCTCTGTGCCTTACAAATGGTGTGTAGCTAGCACACTGTGATTACCAAATTGTGCGTGTCTTACTATACTTCTGCACTGTGGCACAATATTGTGGGTCAATGCCCACTGTATTTTTAGTAGAGAATAAAACAAATCATCCTTGGATGAATGATGCTGATCTTTCAAATTGGGGATATTTGAAGAATAACGTAGAAGGTGCCTCATTGTCATGTTAGCCCTCTTCCTGTGAATTAAAGCACTCTGCAAGGCCCTGTGTCCCAGGTCGTCCTATACCAAATGTGACTGCTTACCTATTGTCTTAATCACTGTCTGGACAGAGACCTGTAATACTGTAATATACTTACATTTGTAGATAGTAATAAATTATGCTATTTAACCAATTCTATTTGTGGTCTGACAAGTGTATACAATGGGATTAACTGAGCTTTTTCTGGCCTAACATCAAAATGTGAATACATATGTTTTGCATTGTGGTATGTCTGTTCCTTGGTTATACAAGGATGGCTGTGTCTTGTTTCCCCCGTTGTATATGTGCAGGTGTCTGAATTTGGTATTGTTTATGTATGACTATGCCGGAGTTTAGGTGTTTTAGTGTATGTGTGTGCACTATTAATTATTTTTATTTTTTTATTTTTGCAGTGCATAATATTACAAACCAGCTTGAGGTACCCCAACGGCAATCCTCAGGCATATTATCACACTTCACATTTGGGGTATTTGAGTTCACATGCACAATTTTATTTAGGCATTATCGAGTGCCTATTGCTTAATAGGTATTAGGAATAGATTGGAAAATGAGTAAAACAGACTATGATAAGTTATGTTAAACATCCCAGCTTAGATAAATAGAAATGGGTCAATGCATGCTGCTTGTAATAAGCTGGGTAGCTGCAATAACTGTAGGAGATAAATTCAACCCATAGACCCCTATAGTTAAGCATGATCGAGGTTGGCTCATCACTGAAGTGTAGATCACGATTATGCAATACATATTGTAGCAGACTCCAGGTAATCCGACTGGTTACCTCCGCTATGGCCTTCCTTCCGCTGCTCTGCAGCCACTTAGAATGCAAAGAGACCCATTCTTCCCCCACAGTAACTGGACAATACCTAGTTCTGGAGGTACAACACGATTTTATTGTGCCACACTCGGCTTTTATGCATAACCCCATTCAAGGGGTTTCTGACACACACGTACAGAGTCACATCTCAGGCTCCTCCCCCTCCCTGGGGTCCCAGCGTGGGAAAGGGACTTCGTTCTGTTTGTCCTCAAAACCTACCACCCAAACACAGGGTTTCCCACACCAGGCGGGGGGGTCTTCCCAGGCGCCTCTGTGCCTGGGAGCCAAAGCACAGGAAAAGGGATCGTCCCTTTGTCTCCCAGGCACAGAAAAGCCCGCCAAACTAGCCAGTGCTCCAAAAGTGCCCACACCAACCTCACAATGGCTCCTGTCACAAACCGTCTCAGTTTGCGGGATCCCTGTGTGGAAACCAGGCAAGGGAAGCGTCTCCTTTCAGGATGTGAACGCTCCCCTGGATGCTGTTTATCTATTCGAAAGGGCAGCCACCCAGGGGAGTACTCATTAATTACTTCCCTTGCAGTTTCACACTTATGTTGCAAATGTGAACATTCTAATTGATTGAGGTGAACGTTCTAATGGGGCACCAGGGAGGTCCTCGTTCGGGAAGCGATCCACGAGGGCTCCCCCTGGATGGCATTCGTCTATACAAAATGGTGGCCACCCAGGGGGAAGCATGCTCCGATGGCTTCCCTTGCAGTTTTGGCACTAGGTCAAGGTGAGAACGTTCTAATTGACGTTCTAAGTAGGGTTCTAACTGGGCTTTTGGGGTGGTCCCCCTTCGGGAGACGGATGACCTCCTCTCGCATGAATATTCCCGAATGGGGAGCAGGGTACAATAGGCGAAATACAGGGAGGACACACATATTACAAGCGGGAAACAGACGAACAGACCGTGGGTCTGCCACACACATACTGAGTAGAATTGGATCATTGGGACATATATGCAAAGTGTCTTGAATTTCAGCTTAGCCGGTTCCCTCTATGGGCTTAGCGTGGTCCTGCTGCAAGCCGGCTGTCTGTGTGCGTTTTGGTTCCATTACGGCTGACCGGGAGGTGCTGTATTACAATCCAGGGAGAGGATGCGGTGTATTGCGTTGGAAACCAGCTCTCCGGCCCAACTTGAGGGAAGGTTTTCGCATGTAAATTTTCTATGGCAGCTGCTATGTTGCATGCACTGACCTGATGTGCCTCCATCTCTTCCGCCCTGCTTCTGGCCTGTCCCTGAACCTGAGCCGAGGTCCTGCATTGAATCTCCAGAGGTAAGCGTTGTGCTGGGGCACTATGGTTTGTGCGTGTATCAGGCTGCTGCAGATATCGGGCCAGCTTGTGCCAATAAGCCGTGCTGAATGTGGTGAGTGCGGGGAAAACACTGTTAGTCTCTCTGGTCTCAAGCACTTGTGCACATGGCCTCCGCTAATTTAGGTAAAGCGCCTGGGCTTCAGGTCGGAAAGGCATTATAGCTGGGTCTTGGATGCGTTATAGTGATTGGGGCCACAGGGTGAGGAGCGGGATCACCCACCACCGGTCCAGAGAGGGGAAGAACAGGGCCCGTTCCACGTAGTTTCAGGCTTCTGGCTGGACACTGTAAGTCAGGACAGCAGAGCAGCGGCTGTCTGCTCCACTCACCGCCGGAGTAGACCTCATCTGAGACAACGAAGATTTCTCCTCCAAGGAACTAAAACTCAAGGAGCAAGTCTCGCCTCGGATCCTCGCTGGTCGGCAAATAGGTTGAAAATCCGAGTTTATAAGCTTAGATTGCAGGAGCTGATCTCTCTTGAGACCATCCAGCATGGCACTCCGGCTCCGCCCCCCTTGCACTATTAATTTTATGCCCCTGTTTGGATCTGTGTGTCCGAATGTGTGCTGATGCGGTGTTTGGGTCTGTGAATCTTCGCGTGCACTGATGCTTGTGTTGTCTTTTAGATAAATACAAACTCAAAGGAATTGAGTCTTTTGGAGCTCAAAAACTTACTAAGGATTGAAAGAAAGGTGATTATATAAAAATTTCAGACAAAACGGGATGGGGTTGCTATACAGTTTGATGATAACCATATATATTTTAAGCACTTTAAAACTTTTTGCAGTACGCACTTTAAATGCTAAACACTTTTTACAAATTTCCAAAGTTGATTTTTTAAAATTGCATTAGGAACTTTAAATGCCTTTTTTATCACCTTTTTATCATGTAATTTTTGATCGGTGTGCACTGTTGCTTATGCGTGTCAGAATGTGCACTGATGTCCAAATTTTAAGTCTGTGATTGTTGATGGTGGACTCAGTCTGCCATTCTTTATGTCTGTGCACGTGAAAGAAACCTCAAAAGACGTTTGGCTGAGACCGGTTACATGTATGTACATGATCATGGCCATTTCCCTGTGGGAGCAGAGTTTTGGCTGGCTGCCCATGTTGAGTTTCGTTTGTACACACCCAACTATAATGAGCATATCCTACACCTGGCAGTACATGTGAAGATCTCTGTAAATTGGTTCTGTACATGGCCAGTGTCATATTAACCTGGTATTTCCCAGGCTGTCTTGTTAAGAAAAAGAAAAATGGGCAACTTCATAATTTTTAACATTTATAAGAACATAATGTAAACACAAGTTTAGCCATGCACTGACTTTAGTTTTAGGTGATCGACCATATGCAGGAGTAATGTTTAATGAAATTGCAGATAACAAATAAGATAATTATAGAATATTATAGTGTTCTGTCTTTTTTTTTTTTTTGGCTCTATCACCTAAATAAAGCTACATCTAGCTTTTTAAAGTAATTTTAAGATATTTTTAATAGATTTCTATGGGTGAGGAGTCTGTTAATTTGTGCATATAGACAATATGGTTTCCTGCATCAGTTATGTCACCAACTCTAGATTGAGCTGTCAACCACTAGTAAGATTTATGGTATGTCTTGACCTGCAGAGTTATTCAATGTCAGGTATTTTTGTTTGTTTGTTTTTTACTAAACAATTTAAAGGAACTTCTAAAAAAAAAAAAGTTTTATTTATTTTTGCCTTGTTTGTAGCTTAGTCGTGATACATAATAGATTTGGTTGTTGTGGGGCAGTTCTATTGCAAAATGTAATAGTACCTGCTTCACCTGTGTTTATTAAAAGATTCCAAAAACTAAGTTAAATTATACAGGCAGAGGGATCATGGCTATAGTTTTGGCCATAAAGGATTGGTATCACCTGACATAAGGTTCTACAGTCCTCATCACAATATTGACCAATCTGAATAAGCCTCCCTTAACCCCTTAAGGACACATGACGTGTGACATGTCATGATTCCCTTTTATTCCAGAAGTTTGGTCCTTAAGGGTTTAAGCAGTGAAAACTGACTTCTCGACAAATCATATGGACCTTGTTCTTGTATCACTTTAAAATGGTGCCCTACAGTCTTAGGAAATCAATTCTTATCAAGATAAATATATAAATATTGATACTGACTAATGATCTAATCAGGATTAAATACAAAGACCACTACTCCATATAATTCTTCAAGACCTATGTTACCTTTAACACTGTTGATCACAACCTTTTCATGTTTTTCATCCTCTCACAATCCTTCAGCATCTCTAATTCTGGTAAGACCTTCTCCCCTGCTGTCTTATTTGGATACCCACAAGTCCTATATTGTTTGTTCTTTAGACTCCCTGTCTTGGCATACTTATTAACTCTTTTAGATTTAATTTCCACCTATATGTTGATGATACCCAGATATACTTGTTCTCCTCTGATCCCTCTCTGTCCTAGAATATGTCACCATTTGCCTGTCGTCTGCCTCCAATTAGTTGTCTTCCCGCTTTATAAAAATGAGCTGATCTTCCCTGCTTATAATTCTAATCTTCTGTTGTCGCTCTCATCCCGGCAAGTTGATGGTTCACGCATCAGAATACCAGTGCAAACTCACTGCCTTGGTGATATCTTTGATTCTGACCCAGGGGTCAAGTCCTGGGGAAAAAGGTGTGGGAACTCACCCAAGATTCCCGCCTCCCCCCCTTAAAAAAAAAAAAAAAATTACACTCCTATGCATATAGTGCAGTGCAGGGTGTGTATAATGAATGTAGTGTGTTTGTAGTGAATGCAGAGTATGAATAATAAATGTAGTGTGTTTGTAGTGAGTGCAGTGTGAATAATAATTGTAGTGTATTTGTAGTGAGTGCAGAGTGTGTATAATGAATGCAGTGTGTTTTTAGTGAGTGCAGAGTGTGTATAATGAATGTAGTGTATTTGTAGTGAGTGCAGTGTGTATAACAAATGTAGTGTATTTGTAGTGAGTGCAGTGTGTATAATAAATGTAGTGTGTATAGTGTGCAGTGTGTATAGTGAATGTGTGTTTTTGTAGTGAGTGCAGAGTGTGTATAATGAATGCAGAGTGTGTATAGTGAATGTAGTGTGTTTGTAGTAAGTGCAAATTGTGTATAATGAATTTAGTGTGTTTGTAGTGAGTGCAGAGTGTGTACAATGAATGCAGTGTATGTAGTGTGTTTGTAGTGAATGCAGAGTGTGTATATGTGTAGTGTGTAGTGAGTGCAGAATGTGTATAATGAATGCAGAGTGTGTATAGTGAATGTAGTGTGTTTGTAGTGAGTGAAGAGTGTGTATAATGAATGCAGCGTGTTCTGGATGATGTGTGTGTGCACGCTGGATGACGTGTGTGTGAGTGCTGGATGATGTGTGTGTGTGAGTGCTTGATGATGGGTGTGTGTGAGTGCTTGATGATGGGTGTGTGAGTGCTGGATGATGTGTGTGTGAGTGCTGGATGATGTGTGTGTGTGAGTGCTGGATGATGTGTGTGTGAGTGCTGGATGATGTGTGTGTGAGTGCTGGATGATGTGTGTGTGAGTGCTGGATAATGTGTGTGAGAGTGGTGGATGATGTGTGTGTGAGTGCTGGATGATGTGTGTGTGTGTGAGTGCTGGATGATGTGTGTGAGAGTGCTGGATGATGTGTGTGTGAGTGCTGGATGATGGGTGTGTGTATGCTGGCTGATGGGTGTGTGAATGATGGCTGATGGGTGTGTGTGCTGGATGATGGGTGTGTGTGTGCTGGATGATGGGTGTGTGCGTTGGATGATGGGTGTGTGTGTGTGTGTTGGATGATGGATGTGTGGAGTGCTGGATGATGGTGTGTGTGTGCTGGATGATGGATGTGTGTGTGTGTGCTGGATGATGATGTGTGTGTGTGTGCTGGATGATGTGTGTGAGTGAGTGCTGGATGATGGGTGTGTGTGTGCTGGATGATGGGTGTGTGTGTGTGCTGGATGATGGGTGTGTGTGTGTGCTGGATGATGGGTGTGTGAGTGATGGCTGATGGGTGTGTGAGTGCTGGATGATGGGTGTGTGTGTGCTGGATGATGGGTGTGTGAGTGCTGGATGATGGGTGTGTGAGTGCTGGATGATGTGTGTGTGTGTGTGTGTGTGTTGGATGATGTGTGTGTGTGTGTGTGTTGATGATGTGTGTGTGGAGTGCTGGGATGATGGGTGTGTGAGTGCTGGATGACGTGTGTGTGTGTGTGTGCTGGATGATCTTGGTGTGTGTGTGCTGATGACGGTGTGTGTGTGCTGGATGATCGCAGGTGTGTGTGTGTGTGTGCTGGATGATGTGTGTGTGTGGGAGTGCTGGATGATGGGTGTGTGTATGTGAGTGCTGGATGATGGGTGTGTGAGTGCTGGATGATGGGTGTGTGTGTGTGCTGGATACGGGGTGTGTGTGTGCTGGATGACGGGTGGGAGTGTGGCCGATGTGTGTGTGTGGATGGATGATGGTGTGTGATGGATGATGTGTGTGCTGGATGATGTGTGTGTGAGTGCTGGATGATGTGTGTGTGAGTGCTGGATGATGTGTGTGTGTGTGTGCTGGATGATGTGTGTGTGTGAGTGCTGGATGATGGGTGTGTGTATGTGAGTGCTGGATGATGGGTGTGTGAGTGCTGGATGATGGGTGTGTGGGTGCTGGATGATGGGTGTGTGGGGGGGGGGAGCATTTTTTTTACATTATGTGTTTATTTATTTTATTCCCCCCTCCCTGCTTCTTACCTTGTCAGGGAGGGGGGAGATCGCCTGGTGGTCCGGTGGTATTCTGGAGGGAGCCAGCCGCTGCACAGAGGGGCCATCACACGCTGTGTTCGTTCTCCAGCTCTAACTCTCGCGAGACTCGCCTGTGCGGAGCGTTGCCATGGTAACAGCCGCGGGTCTCGCGAGAGTTATAGCTGTAGAGGGAACACAGCTTGTGATGGCCCCTCTGTGCCGGTAGCAGGGCCGGTCCTGCAGGACAGCTAACGGGAACGGCGTTCCTGCTTTGGAAAAAGTGCAGGAACGCCGTTCCCATGCGTTCCTGCAGGACTCGAGCCCTGTTCTGACCTCACCTTTCGTATCCAACAGCGGATCTGGTCAGATGCCATTTCAGACAGCTCCTGAAAATCTTACCTAATCTCCTCCAAATCAAAGCCATCCCGCACAGTCCAGCCCACAAACCCCCCAAAAGACTCAAGGGCTCCAGCTGCATCGACTGATGCCCTTCTTTGTAACACCCAAAATGTACAAGCGGAGACACAGGCCCGGGGCCTACGCCACACGGACACTGCCAGATTGGAAGCCGCTGCTGGGTGGAGCATACGAGGCCGAAGAATCAGACCTCTACACACCAACGCAGTCGG